TAAGGAGGTGGATGAGTATTAAAGAAATGTGTGGATTAAGGACTATTCCTTTGGTATTTAGTAATCAAAACTTCAGTAATTGTTCTAGTATTGTTCCTGGGTGCACAGAATGAATGACCATGAAAGTACCTAAGTACTACTTTGCTTCATCTAGTCCCCACACCTGGCATTAGGGCAGCCTCTCAGCTCAGGGCTTCCCTGCTGGAGGGTCAAAAATCTTAATGGGATAAGTTAGGGAAGACACCGTCCTCTCAAATGCTAACACTCTCTGACAGAGCTCCCAGGGACATCCCCTCAGGCCTCAGCCTGATCTCTCTGACTCACTGCCAGGGTCCATGTGCACTGAACTCACAGTCATCACCATTTTTATGGGAAAACACAATTTAGGGGCGCCTGGGTGGCTCAGTCGTTAAGCATCTGCCTTCGGCTCAGGTCATGATCCCAGGGTCCTGGGATCGAGCCCCACGTCTGGCTCCCTGCTCTGCGGGAAGCCTGCTTCTCCCTCTCCCACTCCCCCTGCTTGTGTTCCCTCTCTCGCTGTGTCTTTCTGTCAAATAAATAAAATCTTTAAAAAAAAAAAACAACACAATTTATATAATACCCTCCCACTGGAGTAATACTCTTTTTGTGGATAAACAGTGACTTGCACCACCCTCCGCTGTGAAGAAAAGTGAGGGACCAGATTCAGAGCAGACCCCTGAATGAGCCGGTCAGGGTCAGGATTAGATTACAGTCCTAAGGGCTGGGTTGCTTCCCCCAAGCAGGGGACAGCCTGCAAGATAGAGAACAGGACTGTTGTGGGTAGGTGGTTTGGCCCAAGTACTGACGGCAGAGCTGGCATGTACCGGAGGATAAAACCTGTGATCATCCTAAAATCTAATTCTAGCTACTCATTAGGAAATCAAAATGCATTCTCTCTTAGGCTTCTCTTGGAAAGTTGATCTCCCTGCTTTTCTTCTCCTCTGTTCCATGCCATGAATTTCACACTTAACAGTCCTCCCCCATCCAGGGTCCAGCCAGCCTCTTGCTTACTGGGACAGAGGAATCTCCCTGGCTTTCCTCCTTAACTGCATTGCAGACCCTTAGCCTGTGTATCTGCCATATAGCTCCGTTCTGCTCTCACTTGCTCAAATTATGGTGTTTTGGTTTTGTTTGGTTTTTTGGTTTTTTTCCTGCCTGTATTTTCTCCAAGCCCTCTAATTCTGTTTTGAAGCCCCAATAGCTCCTCTCTGTGCTGCCTTCTCCCTCCTGGTGCCTCAGCCCTCCCCTACCCTACCCTTTGTAAGGCATCCTGACAGAGAAACAGGGTGAGGTGGAGAAGACTCTAGGAAGTTTATCCCGTCAGTAAAGGACCAAGGTTTCTGAGATAAATGTATCCTGGCCCAGCTTTCACCTGCGCATCATCACCAACAGCAGCACCTTTCCTTTCTTCTGGCTTATGCAAAGAGAGGTAATCTACTCCTGGACTAAAACGGTGCCTTGGGCCAGCTAGAGAGCTGGATTAGGGAACAGAGCACAAGGCACTGTTTTCCTGGGGAGAAAAGTACAACCCATCTTTCCCACTGGGTCTGGGCTCATATAGATAGTGCTGTCCCCTGTTCCTGACTTCTTGATAAGCATCCTTCCTCTGTGGAATAGCTCCAAGGCATGTTCTCTCTTTGGGCACAGAGGAGGTTCTAGAATAGAGGGTGATTGAGGAGGGCTAGTCAGTTGGTCTGTATCCTTATGTTTATCATCAAATAACTACCAGCAATACAGCACTCAGTTACCATTCTGAGTGTGATTTTATTTATATAACTTCAATTCTCACAACAACCTATGAAGTAGGGAGGTGTAGATACTAAGATGTCCATTTTACATATTAATAAGCTGAGTATTTGTCCCAAGTCACACAGGTAGGAAGCGATGGAGCTGAGATTCAACCCAGGAATACCGGATCCAAAGTCTATACTTGTAAGCACCGTGCTGTGTTGCTTTGCAAGTATGTATGTTTCACTGATCTGGTTCCTGAAGCATTTATCCCTGCTCCAAGAAGCAGTTTACTTCATTTTAATTTAAAGCAAAGATGAAAACAGCCTTAATCTACAGCCCAAACGATTCTCATCCCCTCAGGGGTAATGGGTGCTTTCTGAATGATAGAGACCAGGAGCGGTGCTTTGGGGCCAAAAACTGCCTTGCAGTTTAGCTGAGGCAGGACTTAGAAATGGCGTGAACAGTGCCTGCATTAGCCGATGGCATGGAGTGCTGAGTGCCAGCAGAAGAGAGAAAATCAGACATATGTTTGGATATAAATGTTCTATCTCTCTCTCTTTTTCTTTTTCTCTAATTTTAATCCCCTGCTACTTTGTTGCAGTAAAATGTCGGGGCCTTAATTGTGGGCTCTGGCCCCCTGAGGTAGTACAGTGTGGGCTGTGTAAGGTCCCCTTAGCCCTCTCCTAGCCGCTGTGCATCTCCACAGAAGGAAGCCAGAGCTCTCCACCATTAATGGCATGGACTCTGGACCTCTTCCCCACCAACAACAGGAATTCTTGTGCCAGGGACTCTCTTCTACATTGTTCTACCCAGCACCCAGCAAGCTGCTGGCCTCATACATGTTAAACAGCCATGATAAAGTTAATGTCTCTAGGCCTTAGAAACTACCCTGTCTACTCTCCCTTCTTTGATAATCAGATGCAGCATAACACCAAAGAGTGACAAAAGGCCTAGAGCAGATTATGGGAGTGGCAGCCACAGACAGCATGGCACTTAAAGAGCTGGGGCTGGGGTAGGTATAGTGGTGGAGGGGAGTCAAGGAGCTCCCCAGTAGTCTCATTGTTGAACCAGATAAGCAGAAACCATTCCACTATAGAGAACTTACTCTGATAGGTGCTTTAAGACCTCTGCCACTCCTCTACTCCGCAAAGCTTCCAAGGCAGAGGTTGGGAGAAGGCCAAGCTACCCCCCTTCCCTTTGTGAACACCCTGCGTTATCTACGTCACCCTGTCTCTGGCAGCCATCTGCCATTGCCTCAGGATCAGAAGTTGTGTTATGTGCAGTCCCGAGAATCGAACTCCTTAGCACACGTGGCCCTTTGGCCAGCTGTGGGGCCCCTGTGGTAGGGATTCTGGTCAGACCTTGGAGGGCAGTAGAGCCAGTCCTGAAGGAGATTGAGCACCTCTAAGAAGAGAACACAGCAATATCTGTAGGAAGGTCCCATTTTCATTGCATATTGGCCAGGAAAGAAAAAGGTTCTTGAAGGCCCAGAAGAGCTTGAGTAAGGAAGGCACATTTGACTTGGGAGTCCAGAGATCTGGGTTTCAGTTCCACCTCTTCCACTCACCAGCAGTGTGACCTTGGAGGTATCTTTCCATTTCTCTGGGGCTGTTGCCTTGACCAGAAAATGTAAAGGGATTAGACTAAATGATCTTTCATGGCCCTTAAAAAATTCTCTAACTCCCTATAATCAGCAGCAGTCTTTCCCTCTAGTGTGTTGCTACAACTACTCCCCTGAAGAGCTACCAACCCATGTCCCATTCTTTGGTAACAAACCCTATAGCTTGGCCGCCAGGCCTGAGGATGAGTCACCAACCCAGCATGAAAGGCTGCACTATCGGTGCTCATGGGACTCCTCTCCGAAAAGCTGTCCCAGGTGCCTGCTACAAAGGAGGAGATACCCAGCGTGTTACGGCAGGAGAGGTTTGCTGCTCTAAAAGCTGCAGCACTGCCCAGGTCGAGGAGTGGACCCCGTGGGGAAGGGAAGTACCCTTGCAGCTCTCAGGACACTTATACCCAGGAACCATATTCTCAGTCTCCCCCACCTCCTTTCAGCTTCCTTCTGGAAAGCGTTTCTCCCTCAGCCCCCAGGCCGCGTGCGTTTGTTCTTAGGCCTCTTCCCCAGGAATATACTCTTTCCCTCAGCTCTCCAGTTCAGCCACAGACACTTCTTCATTCCAGAGCCACTGTATAATCCGTCACTATCCAAGTAGCTGTCACAAAAGGAGGGGCGTGAGGAAATCGGAAACACATCCTCTGTTTCTGAAGCAGCTACTTTCTCCACAGTTGCCCCTGAGTGTGTCCCCAGGAAGCTGCTCTAAACAGCCTGAGTTGTCTTGTGGCATTGGGCAAGGGAGCATTTCTTGCTTTTTCAGCTGGTCCTGGCCAAGTCCCACCCTTTACTCTGCTGCATTTTTCTCGTTGTATTGGCCGTAGGGTGGTAAAGGAGAGGCAGAGGGAAACGTATATGCGGAGCCCGGAAATGTGCGTGGCAGTTTCTAAATGTGCATCATGCATGCATGCTGCCGCAAACACTGATACCCAGAAATGACACATATATACACCCAGGGGATTAAGAATTGGCCCCTTCTTAGCCAACTGCTGCAAAGTGCTGCCTGCCTCTCTCCCCGTTCAGTGCCAGAGAGATCACACCCACTCAGTCCCGATTCCCTGCATTAGTATAAAGCACTGAAGAGACGCAGGGTCCCGGTTCATGCAGCTTCCCTGGACGTCATCACTCAGGAAGCATCAGGAGACAGATACCCCCCACCACCAAGACATGTTTGGCTATTTGACACCCAGAGAACAGAAGGAACACTGCCTGTGGGAAATTTAAGCCAAACAACATTACTGCAGACCTCTTAAATCCAGGTCCCCCAGGGTCCCTGGGTAGAGCCGGGGCTGCCTGACCAGCAGCTTTGCTGAGGTGGCATTTAACTTCTGGCCTGGTCCCAGGAGCTGAGGCTGACCCATTTCCCCTGCTTTTCCAGGGCATCAGGAATTTGGTTCTACCCCCAACAAAGCCAGGGACTAACACACTTAGCTTGTGGAAGGTGCACTAGAATCGGGGTGCTTTTATTTAAGCTAAGGAAAGATTGTTGACAGCTTTAGCATTTTTAACATTGTCTTCCCCTCCCACCTTACCTCTCCCCTCCCCTTCCCTTTTTGTCTTTAAATAGAAATGACTTGGTTGATGCTGGTAAGAACCTATAGGATCTTATTCAATTTAACCCTTTGGGGACATTGAATTAAAAATTGAACAATATTTATTAAAATACAAAAATACACTTTTCTCACATTACAATCAGTGTTCTTTTGTTGGCATTCCCCCCCACCCACCCATCCCACCCCTTTCAAATCTGAACCCTTTATTTCTTTTTAAAGCTAAAATAATAAATGAAAGAAGTTACAGCATTAAATGGACCAGAATAACAGAGATCTCTGCCGTCACCCCCCACGCCCACCCCTTCTCCTCCACCTCCTCCTGAGGTAGACCTGGGAGAGGGAAGCCTTCCCCCCATTGTGCTACATTCAACAGGACTCCTTGCAGAACTCACTTCTTGTGTGCATGTGTATCACTTTTGTTTTAACTGGATTTCACGTCTTTTTTGTGAACCATCCTGTTCAGTCAAGGCTTCATTATACTTTAAATGAGCCCGTGCCCTTTTTCTCTCTCCACTCATGTTCTGCCCCCACCCCATCACCACAACCAGTTGACATCAGCTATAATAATCCCTAATGAATCAGCATTTAGAATAGTCACCAAATCACAAGCATGAGAAAAGCTTCCACTCCCCCAAGCTCCCCAATCCCAGCCTCTCCTCCTTCTCCACCTTAAAACAAACAAAACCTTTATAAAAAAAATCATAAAATGCCATCATTGTCTACAATCATTTGTCAGATACCAGGAACAACAGGTGGACATGGCACAGTACTAATTTATGGCCTCCTGTGAATACATTCTCTCTGCTTCTGCTCTCCCTTCCCACCCCCCTCTGTTGCCGCACCCCCTTCAGGGGCCTCCTCCCTCTCAAGGGAAACCCTGAATAGACAAATGTCCTGCAAAGAGTGGGTTAAACCCATCTGCAGGAATCTGGTGCAGTGTGAAAGCATTGGACTGAGAGCTACACAGCTTCCTTCCTTCTCCGCTCCTTCCTGAGGTGTGCTGTCAGGCAGGGCACACGAGCGTCCCAGTGCACCAACCAAGGAGACTTGTGCACATGGACAGATGGAAAGACTGAGCCCCTTTAGGGAGTCATTTGAATTTTGGTGGTTTTCCTGTTTAAAAAACAGTTACAGATCTATCTTCCCCTTGGCCTCTAAAGAAAAAAATTATTGCCTCTCAACATTTTGGCACAGTACAAATCCTTGGTGCTTTTTTTTGTATTTTTAAAAATAAGATAAATTTGCAAAGACAGCTCTCAGCTTAAGAAAGGCGTCTATAGAAATGGGTAATCCTGTATGCTATGAAGCATCTCCTAAAAAATGACAGTCGACCCCCCACCCCCACCCCTCAGCAGCCCGCACCCTGCCTCTTTAGGGATGTATGTTGTTGTTTGAGTTTATCTTAGCAGTTTCAACCTTAGATCAGAAATCCCTCTGGCATCATAACAAGTTGGCTTGTGGCTTCTGCCCCACAGCCTTCCCAAGAACCCCACTGCCCCTTTAAATAGAACTTACAAGTTAGAAAATAGTTTTGTTTTGATTTTTTGTTTTTAAATTTTAATATAATCTGTTTCTTTTACCAGCCCATAGATTTAATATATAAGCATATACAAGAAAAAGTCTCTCCCCACTCTGTACAAAAGTTGCTGTCATGTGTGTGCGTGTGTGTGTGTGTGTGTGCATTCTATTGCATTTTATAAGTTTTTGGGGGGAGGGGGAGTCATATTTGAGTTTCCTGTACCTTGTCCTTGGTATGGGTCTGAATTATATAAGGTTCAGAGATTGTGGTGACTGTGGGGTGCAGAGAGTTCCCCAGGCTGTTTTCTGTCCAGTGGGCCCCATGTGCTGGTTTGTAGGTGTTGTAGTTAATATGGTCATGAATTGTGGGCAGCACTACTGCCCCCTCACCTGATACACCGGAAGGAGCTGCTGTTGCTGCTGCAGACGCCGCTGCTGGGATGTCTTCATCCACCTGGATAATCTCAACTGTCCGGGCGGCTGTGACTGTACTCCTCTGCTGGTGCCGCTTACGAAGTTTATAGAACACAATCAACATGGCGGCAGCTAGCAGAGTCACTGCCACGAAGCAGCCAATGATGATCTTGGTGGTCTTCATGACTTCATCCAGGCTGGTCTGCATCTTATCATTGGTGTCTGTCGCGGGTACCTGCTTGGGCACACGGGTGGTCTGAATGAGCACCGTGGTAGAGGTGGTATATGCCGGCTGATAACCCGTGGACGTAGTAGGAACAGGCTTGTACTTGCGCGTTGTATCCTCAGGTGAGATCTCGGTGGTCTCCACTGTGACAGTGGTGAAGAAGCTGTAGTTGGAGGTGTTGAGCTCGGCCGTGCTCACGTTGAGGTAGGCCGAGGCGTTGGAGTTACCTGCCACGTTGGTCACCATGCATGTGTATACCCCGGTGTCTGAGAGCAGCACATGGGAAAAGTTCAAGGTGCCGTCGTTGAGGACGGAGATCCTTGGGTGGCGGGAGGCGTGGCTGAGCACTGTCCCATTGGGCAGCAGCCACTTCACAGAGGACATAGGGGGAGTCCGACACTTAAGTTCCGCCATCCGGCCCTCAGAGATATTGAGGTCCCGAGGTGCATCCATGATGAAGGGGGCAGAGCACTGGAAGGAGGCCTGGTCCACCTCCACCAGGTAGCGGCCGCGCATGTGCAAGGGAGCATGACAGCGGCCACAGCAGGTAGAATTGGTGGGTATGTACTCCCGAAGCCACCAGGCTAGCCACAGAATGTCACAATCGCAGTTCCAAGGATTGTGGTGTAGGTGCAACTCCACCAGGTACCTCAGTGGGGTGAAGAGGTCATGGGGCAAAGAAGAGAGGTTATTGTGGGCCAAGTTGAGTTCCACAAGCGAGGCCAGCCCGTCAAAAGCATTTCGCTCAATCAGGCTGACCTGTGAGTTCATGACCCATAGCTTCTTAAGGGAGCTTAGGCCATGGAAGGAGCCAGGCCTGATCTCAGGGAAGTGGTTCCCTGACATCTCCAGCTCCTCCAGCCCCACCAGGGGGGTGAGATTGGGCATATCTTTAATGTTGCACATGCCCAAGTTCAGGTACTTGAGGTTGAACAGTCCCTCAAAAGCGCCCTCAGAGATATACTCCAGCTTCTTGAGCTCCCCCAAGTCCAGGCGCATGAGGGAGGGCACCCGGTTGAAGGCATAAGAGGGGATGCTTTCTATGGGGTTGTTGCGAAGCCAGAGCTCCCGCAGCTTGGACAGGTACTCAAAGGCCCCGCTGGGGATGACTGTCAGCCAGTTGTCGAACAGCTCCAGGGTGTTGAGGCTGGCCAGGCCGTTGAAGGCCCCCACCTCGATCTGCCGGATGGAGTTCCTGCCCAGCTGCAGGACCTCCAGGTGGTGGAGGTGGCGGAAGGTGTCGGCCTGGATCATCTGGATATTGTTTTCCATGAGGTTGAGGTACCGGGTGTTGGAGGGGATACCCTGAGGGACCTCGGAGAGGCCCCGGCGGGTGCACACCACCTTGCTGAACTGGTTACTGCAGGAGCAAACGGATGGGCAGTTCTGGGGCCCGGCGGAGGCGGCAGCGGCGATGGCTGCACACAGAATCCACACTTGCGCCGTGAGGTAGACGACGGGGAGCAGGACGGCATTCCAGGTGTGGTGCACAGTTACCTGCCACAAGAGCTTCATGGTGTGGCACGTTCATAATTCACCATCGCCTGGGATTTTGGCTCGGAAAGGAGAACCAGCCCTACCCCGGCTTAAATGAGCTAGGAGCTCCTCTTTCCATCTGGAGAAGGAGGTGGGGAGGGGGCGATTAGAGAGACGGAGCAGACCGGCGGGTGGGGGGGGGGATTGCCCAACTAGAGCGTGGCCCCTGTCTCCAGCCCCCCTCAAGGCAAGCCCTCGGAAAGCCGAGACTTTCTCTCCCCCGTGGCAACCATCCCCACCCAGTGAGTCGCTGTCACCTACCTCGGAAGGGAGGAATTGGCGTGGTGTCCTTAAGCGTTCTCCACAGGAGCCGGCCACGTCGTTGCCATTCTTACTTCTTAGTTTTAATTAACAAAAGGGGGAAGTCGAGGGTGTGGGGAGGGCAGAGGGGAGGGGTGGGGAGGGGAGGGGTGGGGGAGACAAAATGGCTTCTAGTAAATCCGGAGCAGGCTACGGCGAAGCGGCGGAGTTGAGGCGCGCCGGGGAGAGCCAAGGCCCGGCGGGCTATGCAGGTGCATGCCCCCCCCTCAGCCGGAGGAGCGGCGCCACCAGCGCTTCCCTGCTTTGTCCTTGGACCCTGGCACCGGCTCGCACCAGCCACGGGGGAAGCCGCTTCATCGCCGGAGCGTGCCTCCGGCGCCCCAGCCCGCTCCCGCGGCTGCCACCCGGCGGTGGTGAGGGGGCGCCCCGAAGCCTCCCAGGCCGCGCTCGCTCGCTCGCTCGCTGCTGCTGCTGCTGCTGCTGCTGCTGCTGCTGCTGCGCTGCCCCCTCTCCTTGTGTCGGCGGCTCCCGGCCGGAGGCAGCTGATGCAGTCGTTCGCTCGCGGGGCTGCGAGAGTTAAGAGGAGGTGTTCGAGGCTCCTTCGCCCTCCCCAGACACACACCCCCTTCTTTCCTCGCCTCTTCTCTGAAGGGTTAGAAAGACCAGAACTGGGCTTAGTTTCCCAGTCCGCCGTCTGCCGGCGCGAGGAGCAGCAGTTCGTCTAGCCCCCTGAGGGTCAGCAGCGTGGAGACAGCGCCGGGACCAGGTCCGCCGGCCGGAGAAGCGCGCGGCGGCCGGGTGGCGCCCGCACCGCAGGCCCCTTCAGGGAGTCCGGGG